GATCTAGCTTCAGTATCTACACACATAGACAGTGAGGTCTATGTTCCCTCTTGGCCAATCGGAGGCCAGGATGATGCTCGGTAAGCCAATGGCAGAGCAGCTATGAGTATGTTGAGTCCAGGAAACTCGCAGCTGTGACCGAAATAAACATCGTTCACTATGTAAATCAGTGTGGTGGTTGCTGTTGCCTTTTTTCGAACGAAGCAGTAGAGGTCGCTGTTGGATAAGACTTCGTTGTAGTGAATGTCTTCGCGAGGCTGGAGCAGATAAAATTATTTCGTATAACGCAACAGGGGGCTTTTCGTCGTATGGGGGGCAGGAGAATGGGAATTATGTTCATGCATGAAGATTTTTTCACATAAGGGGGTATTTTCGCCCATGTAGGTTTCGTTCTAGAGGAGTTTCACTGTACTACATTAATGGGTGTATCGCCTGTTATTCGTACAATAACAGCAAGGAAAGTGTGGATATAGATGGGCGTTGAAGCCTCTCATCAGAAAAAGTGTGGGTGTTGAAAAATACTTTGGAATTTGTGAAACTGTGTGGCTCTTTTTCCATCTCGCTCGGCTCTACTCCGGACAACCTCACAAAAACAGTCATTATTATCCACTTCAAAGCACAAAATCGTGAAAAATAGAGCCCGCCTTCCACCTGCAGGACTGTGTGGATGTAATCGCTGAAGCCCACCTTCAGCTGTCAATCAAGTCTGCTCCGCGCTGTCCTGGTTCCTTCTGAGAGATGCACACGCTCTCACGGGTTTCAGAGAAGCAATCTGATTTCTGGCAGGTACACTGCAAATATTATGGTGTTAATTCAACACCCTGCGATTGGCTGGCAATCAGTTCAGGGTATACCCAGCTGTCTTCGAGCAGTAGGCGGGGTACACCCTGAACTGTTTGCTAGCCAATCGCATTTCAAATCAGCACCAAACTGGGTCAAATCCAGGTGATCTCATTTTAACAAGCTATCATTGATGCATCTACACAGACTATTTTGGTGCTCTTCTCATGAATAATGTTTCATTTGTGCTGCTTCGGTCAATTTCATATTTAGAGTAAGTGATGCAGTTTGAAACATAACAGTAATTTTAAGGCGCTCACTTGGAGCAACAGTGCCAAAGTTGATGGAAAATTTGCATTTATGGGTGAATTTTTTATACAGTATTATGTTGAAAAGTGAATTGCCTAGCATCATTATTTTACTTTACAAAAAATGTAGTACATCCCTCCAAATCAGTGGTTCTTGTTAGACGTACCGAACCCAACCAATTCATATGCACATTCACCGACTTCTTCATTAGTGAAAAATAAAAATATGAGTTTTTGCAAATTCAACACATAAAAAACGCATTTATTAAAAACAGAAAAAAGTCAAAAAAAAATTCTAGACATAAGTACACGTTTTTTTAATATTACGATGTACTATCACGACAGTCACACGTTGACGACTGAGCGAACTAAATTTCCCGCAGCACTGATTGGACAAGCAATCTAATGTGATCATCTGCAGCCAGTGATGGCGAGGGAGGCATGTCATAACCAATTGATATGTTGAGTCGGGTATGTCTTAACCTCTATGGCTGAGGCTCCATCGAACCCCTGAGACCCATTCACAGAACCCCTGGGGTTCGATCGAACCCAGGTTGAGAATCACTGTTCCAAATGAAAGATGCCAGTTTGGGCCTTAAAATGAGCATCGTCATATGAAATAAGCTAACTGAATTTTTGTTGAGATAAATAATGAAGTTAAAATGTTTTACTCTCATTTGAAAGTGCTTTTCCGACCAGATTTTCAATAGGCAAATTAACACAAAGGAGTTCCCCAAAATCGCCATTTTTCCCCACACAGAAACTCAATTTCTCTGAACCCCTTCATCCAATTTCCAAAATTCTTGCAGCACTGTAAATCAGATTGAAGTGTCCTTTCCAACCAGACTTTGCACTTTGGTAGACTTTTACTTTTGGGAAATCCTGACACTTTTGGGGAATCCTGACATGTTGCCCACGTTATGACTTGTGACTTGACAAAAACTAAAAGGCTTAAGACTTGGACTTGGACTTTGACTTGGGAGTTTAAAAGACTCACAACTTCAGCCATGGTGGAAACATTGTGTGTGCTCGGCTTGCAGAAAGAAAAAAAAAAACTTTCAAAATTCATTAAGCTATCCCCGTCGTGTAACCAAAGGATGTCAGGAAGTGCCACATATTTAGAGAAATCAACTCAGTGTGGCTGCGTCTTGATGCTGCTACAATTTCTGAGAGTGAACCTACAATGAACTCAACACATTCTTGCTTTTTTACATGCAAACAAAACTCACTACACAAAAATCATATTGACTTAAAGTGTTAAATATTACGGTATAAAGATGAAATAATCATTGAAACTACAGTAATCATATGAATGCATGAGGCCAGTACCAGTTTTGATAGTGGCACCACAACTTGGCTAATGGTGTTCCCAAAGGGCCACCGCTAAAAAAAGCTTGATGTTGGACCTTGCTAATAATAAATGGGGCACATTTCAATGTATCTGCATCTCTTTCCAATAGGAATTAAAGTGATTGGAGGAGTGAAGGAACTAACTGGGGAGGAGTTTGGAGTTTATGTTAAAAGGATTTTACCTGGTGGCCTTGCTTCAAGTGATGGTAAGCATATAACTTTAGAGTGTATGTCTTTTCATGTCGTGCATGAGGTTTCTTATTTTTTAATTACTTGTATAACCAAGGCTACTACTCCTGTTTTAAAAAATATGTACATAATTAGGAATTGAGTTGCAAGTGCAGTAGTTTTATACAGTAAATGAATAATAAGTGTGGTTATGATAAATCTATTGCTTTCTTTTGAATTTCTTGTGATTTAGGAGAAATGGCAATATTTTATAACATGACCATTCACATCTAGGATGATGGAATTTGGATGTGTTGCTCTTAAATTATGTATATGAAAAGCAATAGTGGGGCAGATCATGAAAAAAAACGTTCACATTGTGATAAAAGCCAGAAATTTGGTTTATATACTCTTCAAAGTCACACTCTTTCCAAAAATAATGCGAGCCACGCAATATTCCAAGATGGTGGCAGCAAAATCCAAGGTGTATGCCCAAAGATGTGGGGTTTTTTTTTCTTTGTTTTTTTTCTTTTTTCGAAATGCTTTCATTTTAAGCCCCATGGATGTTATGGGTACCAAAGGTAAAGGCAGCAGTGGATCCAAAAGTGAACTGGAGACAGTTGGCAGAGGGTAAAGAACGTGTTTAATTAAAGAGAGAGTCTGATGATCTAGCTCAGGACACAACGGTGGCTCGCAAACAAGAGGGTGAAGCTCTGGTTTAGTGTGGGAGAACTGACGATGAGAAGAAGGAATGGCATGAAGGATAAGTGTAGGATCAAGTGGCCCGTGGAGGAAAAAGCGCAGCCAGGCTGGGATAGGGAGGCACACTCATAATCATCTGTGAATCATCTGGCACCTGCTTGCAGATCAGCAGAGGTCTTATCACAGGAGGTGATTGCTGATCAGCTGCAGGTGTGGGAACATCCTCCAGCCCAGCCTGATAATGAAAGGAAAGAGACAAACAGAAGGTCCCTGGAAATGGACTCGCCAAAATAAATGTCCCACTTGGAGAGAGGTCAGGCAAAGTCTTTGGAGTTTGAACAAGTCCTGGAAAACAATCTGGCCTTTTTCTCTGAGCCAATCAAGAAGAAAAAAGACAGGACTCTTCTTCTGCAGAAAATTCAAAGCAGAAGCTTCTCACGGAGGACCATCTGCTGTTCTCAAAGCTTTACATTACTTGTCAGAGCTGGGAGTGTGACCTGCATGAGTACTTTCGGCCGTAGAACCAGTACTTCGCTGCTGGATTGAGCAAGGGTAGAATATTGTAGTCTTGCCAGAACTGTCAGTTGACCACTATCCTTGAGACTTACCAGTTAACAAGGAATCTGAGCCAGACGTTATCATTGTAGACGTGTCAGCTTTGGTCCATGCTCTGCCACTAAAAAGATCCAAAAAATTTAAGGACTATGCTGTTTTTGATCTTCTACCAGTGAAAAAATATACTCCAGGTACACAATGCCACATTTGGTCGTTGATGTGTACAGCTCTTCAGGCTGAAACCAGGTCCGAAACATGGCCATCGGGAAGACACAACGTGACAAATAAAAACACCATGCTAAGTAGATGGCATAACATCTCGAGGCACAAGACAGAGTTGTCCCACTTTTTGCTGACAAAGTTGCAAAAATGTTTGCCCCAAAGATGGTCATTGTCACAATGGGACCTGCTGCCCTCAGCACCCATAGAACTGATCTTGATGTTCTCATGAAGAAGGGGACAGCCACATATTTGGGCATGCCATACATAATACAGAACAATCCATTGTGATCAAGGCAAATGAAATAGATGTTCCCATCGTGTCATTAATTGTTTCCAAGAGCCCGGGCTACAACCGATCGGGGTTGCATTTGGGCGAGATCAGAGCCTTCGCTGGATCAAACTTCAGTATTTTGGCCTGAAGTCTTCTCTCCTTTCATGCCTTCACAAAATGTATCTCCATGTCAGCCTTCCGAAACAAAGGCAAAAAAACTGTTTGGCAGACACCTGACATATGACCAAAGGCCTTGCCTGTATTCTCCAACCAGGGTTTTTACCCTCTCACAGTCGAGGATTGCGCCCAAGAGATTCTGGAGAAGTTTGTCATCCTAATATATGACAGATCCAACTAAGCTGCTACTGTGGTTTAGGCCAGGCTTGGCTTCTGGCAGGTCTTCTGGACAGCCATTTCTTGTGAACAGCTCATTAAATGTAGCTGTAAATCTGGCCGTTGTGCCAGTTGAGATGAACAGCATCTCATGTATTATAGTTCTGTGCAGTTGCAACTGTAACTCATATGTGCCGTATATTACTAGCTGTAATAGATGCAACATGGTCCAAATATATCTTTTATCAATGTCTAAACACTTTACCGCATTTACGATTACACTTCGAGTTAATGACAGCCATCTTGAACTCCATCTTGGTTTCAGAATTTTATGTCATAACGCTACTGAAAATAACTTGTGAAAATAACATTTTCGTACAACCAGACTCACTTACCGTAATAACAATACATTTTACAAATATCTCACTCTCCCAAACCTGTACTTGTATCTATGCGCTGTATCGCAAGAGTTGGAATTGTTCCAAAATGTCTGCAATACCCAACTGTCCATGCATTTCCAGTTATTAAGAAAAAAAAATTATGAGCAGACTTCTTGGATTTTGCGGCCACCATCTTTTTGCATGGCTAGCATTATTTATTATGATTATTTTTTTAAAGAGTGGCATTTGAAGAGTATATGTACTAAATGATTATGGCTATTATCTGCTCCACTACAATGGCAAAGTTAACTTGTCTGCATCAAAATATAGTACAAAGAACAAATTTCCCTCAGTGATACAGAATGTTTTTGAAAAAATTATTACGTACTTTATAATTAAAATGGCATTGTTTTCATGACAATGGGGTTTTGAAGCCCCAAAACAATTATTTGGTCATGAACCCACGTGCCACGCTGGGCTATTTGGCGTAGCGAGAGCATTTCCTTTGACATACGCCCACAACATCTGACAATTTGGTGGCAAAAAGTCATCTAAACTATTTACCTACTCGAATCACGCCTTTGTTTTGGCACAGGTAGTCTAACGCAATTTTGGAGAATTTGATTGGGACACAAATTCTGAGCTCCACGGATCGAACTATCAGAGTGGAAGGCAGGGTCGCTGTGCCCACTACATAGTGCGATCTGAGATCTCTGTAGCTAACTTCACATCATCTGTCTGTGGAGGTCTGCGTGTAGTTCCTTATAAACATGACATATTTTGCGTGCTTCGACTTCCCGGACTTGAGCAAAGCAGTTTCTTCCTCCGCCATGTTAAGGACGATCAGTGTACCACTTGCCCATCATATGAGCATTTATGAATGACGATAAATCAAGGTCACGTCACGTCCTCAACGGACCTAACTGCCCTTTTTCTAACTGCGACAAACTGCGTGTATCTGCGAAAATAGCCTCATTCAAACCAGCCTCACGTAGATTTATGTATCTTGCCGCGCCCAAGTTGCAGTGGTCATGATAATAGATCCCTTTATCTGGCAGCGCAGTGTTGCTTTTAGTACATCTGCCTCCCAGTCGTGAGGTTCTGGGTTTGAATCAGTTCAGTTAAATTTTTCATGCATGCTCTGGCATTTTCTCTGCTTCATCTTCCACTCTCCAAAAACAAACATTTCCATAATTTTTGGAGAAATTTTTTCCTGTGATTGACTTGTGAGCAGTCTTGGGTGTGTGGTACCCCAGCTTTTGTCCAAAAGTCAGCTGAGATTGGCTGCAGCTCAATGATTACCCGACTGAAATGTGTTCTAGAACATGGCTTGAATTGACATCATTTATCAACCTTACACCTTTCTAGTATTCAATATTGCACTGTATTTTCTACTAATTTCATGCCATTTTATATGTGGTATTGATATAACGCGAACTTCTTCATCCCTAACAAGATAAAAGGCCTTAATAACATGCAAATCTCTTCCACGCTTCCAGCACGAATTGCTTAGTTTACTTCCCCCTACATGACTATGCATGAGCAGAAAAGCACAATTTGCTAATATGTTCGAACATCTGCCCTGGAGTGCACCTTCCAGCTGAAGTTGAAGTTTACATCATGGACTGCAAGTGATAACAGTGGACTGTTAGTCTGTCTAAATCCATCTGGAATGGCAGATCAAGTATTTGGCGATTTTCTCTCCTGAGAGTAAGTCACACAAATAAAACAAGCCACAACAGACTCGCGACCAACATATAGTATGTTTTGGCCACAAACAGCAGACTGGCAATGTGCCCCCCACAATTTTTTTGTTGGTTAGTGGTGAATCATACACAGGTTCCCTAAGACAGGCTGTATTTTAATCATTTGACCACATCTCCCAGTAGACATACTAGCACTATTAATGGAACTCCTATGGACATCTGTGCACACTGATATAAACTACTCATAAAAATAAAGGGAACACCTAAACAGCGCAAGTGTTCCCTCTATTTGAGCAGTATATATATATATATATATATGGAACGCCATAACCAGGTGGCTGGCATAGTCTACCGAAACA